TGGATTTGTGTCCTTTTAACTCACGCCAGGTGACAATGGCTCCCATGTACTCTCACTCTGCTGTGTTTGCATTGCTTCCAGACACAACACAACAGTTTACAAGAAATCCAAATGCTGGAATAGGGGCTTGTTTATTATCATAGGAAGCTCAAATTCCAGAACATTCTGCTCTGTGTGTGTTGAAGTATCGAGGTAAAGGAGAACACCATAGAAATACATTTACATTTGCAATTACAATGGAACTTCAACAGCCAAGCATTTTATATTTGCGAAGTCATGGGAAACATCTTCATTGCAAGGAAGTATTTACTAAATAAATGTTTGAGAAATATTATTCCACTACTCCTGGATGTATATTCCAAAAAAGGGCATCGTTTTTCTTTCCTAAATTTGGTTGAATGTTCCATAATATGTGCCCTTCCCCCACTGTTACCCCAAATTCCTCATACGCCTACTATTATTGGTCCTTACAAAAGCTAGTGATACTGATAACAGCCAGAAGTCTCCATTCAGGCTTGTCATCATGACAGATGTTTTTAGAACTTCCTGTTTGCTGTATGGTGGGGGTGTACAATGAAACTTGATCATTGAGCTATAGATGAAGAATGGACCTTGAATTCATTTTATGGGCCTAAGATGTAAATTAAGCAGAGCATGTCACGTGGGGTCTTACCGCTCATGTTGATTGGAAAAAGAATACCCTTTGTGACTGGACATTTGCTGTCTCATGGAGAAGCTTGCAATCAAGTGGAGCAGATGACATAAAGTGATTATGTGGTCATGTTCATGTGGTTAGGCGAGGTTTGTAATCACTCTCCTGGCCAGTCACTGGTGCAAGAATGTTTAAACCCGACCCCATATTGAGTCAAACATGTGAAATAAGAACACAGGCTTTTTCGATTTCATTCCAAAGTCTGGAACTTTTTCTTGGTGGTCTTTTGACTGCTCTCAGTCTACAGATGTTTTAGTTGCGCTAAATGATAAAAAAGTACTTCTTGGTATTTTTAGACTCTTGATTTTTTCACTATGGACATTGCTACAGGATCACATCACACCACCGTTTTGGGGACAGAAATTGACTCATGCACGAGGTTCATTGGAGGAAGAGGACACATCGATCCTAACATTATTAAACGAAGTCCTGGAATATTCCATGAATATTGAATCTTGTGCTTGAGAAATACATTTAACATAGACCATCTGCCATGGAATTTCTTGGCTCCATCTAATGAGAAAAAGATGAGGTCTTTAGTTAGTTTCTCAGGAGAAGCTGCTTTTCAAGATCACAACTTCATAGTCTCAAAAAAAGGTAGATCTGAGGTATGCTGACATTCAGCTTTTCTTTCTTTTTTTTCTGTTAATTTTTATTCTGAACTGTCAGCAGTCAAATGAGGTGAAAGTGTACCAGATCAAAGCGACTTCATTTTCATCAGTATAAATAATCTCATCACAGGTCCCAAGAGGGACCCAACAAAAACAACCTGCAAATCCCTGTGTGAAACCCGCAAATCTCTGCGGCCTTGTTGATTTGACTGATGTCAGTATGTGGCTGAAAGTCAGTGATGCAATACAAGTGACTTCCTGCTGAAAAGCATATCATTTTACTATGACCCTAGGTCACGATCTCTGACACAGCCAAGTACACCAAGCACCATGCCAGCTGAAAGCACAGATAACATCTAGAAAGTAACCAAGGTAGAAATACGACCATCCTTGTGTGGCTTTTCAAACTGGGACCGAGAAGTCAAACATCTGGACTTTCTCACGTCAAACAAATGGGCAACCTGCTCCCTGTCCTCCAGAATAACTCTTAAGAACCTATCAGGAAGATGTAGTGCTGACGACAGAAGAAGCCACTCATTATGAGCAAACCATAAAAGCTTTGTTTAAAAATCGAGGAGTGCCTTTTTCAGGCACTCAATAAATTCCCTAGGGTAAGCAGAAGTTGGGCAAGAACACTCAGTGAAAACAGGAAATAACTCCTTCATACTTCTATTAGCCCTAAGGACCTAGTGATTTGCCAGCTTCTTGTGTGGGCATTCCTCTGCTAGAAATGCACTTAGAAGATCTCCGCCAAGGTCCTTGGTCACTCAGGATCTGTTTTTCTGCCAAAGAACCCACCCTGTTTATAGCCAATTCGCATCTGGTAAGAAATGCTACATGTCTGCGTAAGTAACAGCAATTTTCATGGGAGAGGTAAACTAAGTTCTATAGAAGCCTAGGACGCTGACACCTGTGATCTATGGAATGTGTGTGTAGATTGCCCAAGGGAATATTAAGGTATTATTAAAAAAAACACTGAGAATTTTGATTGGTTTTGTCTTGGAGTTATAAGCTACTGCATGTGACGTTTCAGAACTGAATGAAACCCACCTGGGACTTGGCCACCATCATTTTATCATATCATTTATAGTGTATGTTCAACATGGCTTTGCCTTTTCAATGAAAGAGCTACCGAGTTTAACTGGCTGCCTCACTAATAGTGAATTTCCTGCAGAGGTCTGAGAAAGCTGTAATTTCATATTAACAGGTTACCGTTTGTCTGCAAAGGCCATTTTCTAGTTTCAGAAAGCTGTTATTCTAATATTATGAGCCAATACTAAATTAAAAATGGTCTATTTGCCAAAAGAGCAAAAATGTCTGAAACATTCCATGGAAAAAAATGGAAATCCTTTAGGTGCATGTTAACAGGCCACATGAAGCATTCCCCTGTGAAGTGGTGGCGAGTGCTTCCAGATCCTTCTATAGACATGAACACAAGCCAGTGAAATGTAGTGCCCGGATGAATGCTTAGCTCTTTTGCTCCCCACCTACGTGAGGCTGGATGGTGGCCTGTTCTCTTCCCATCTGACCAGAGTGAGTTACTGCAGAGAATATTTTATATTTGCCAGAAGTTTTTTTTTTTGTCTGAGAGATCAGATTAAAATGCACTTGTCTGGAGACCAGCAAGGATTGTGGTCACATGACCACAAGTGAATATTTCAGTTTTTCAACCAAAACACAGCCTTTTGTGAGACAGTATACAACAGAGTAATAACAGGCTATGCAATTACTGATATTACTGATAAAACCTTTATTCTGAATATGCCATTTGCACAAGAACTGACACACCTCTAAGATTATAAACATTATTATTTTCTCGTTTGTTTAATTGTTTTATTGTACAAATTTATACAAAATCGATTCAGGCTAGTCAAGTTCCACAAAAGTGTTATGTATTAAAGCACAGTTAGGGGAGGATGAGGTGTCCAGCCAGTAGCCGGGGGGGGATCGGTCAAAACACATACCGAGCATCTCAATAGAACAGTCTGGGGGGAAAGCACGACCCTGACATTCCACACGAAGAGCATCAACAGCATCGAGAACATTTTCACTTGCATCACTACATTTGATCCTGAATGGACAGCATCTGATTTTAGTACTGACAGTAGTTAATAATAATAATAATAAGAAGAATAATAATAATAATAATAGCAACAACAATAATAATTCTGCATGGTAGGCCTTTAGTGACTTTAGATTTAGTGACTTTATTCTAGACCTCCCACCCACTTCTCCAAATTTTCTTTTCTTAATCTTTGTCAGCTTATTTCAGAGGCAACATAACTTGGCCCCACTTCACACAGCTAAAGAAACAGGAATGCTGTCCATTTCAGGAGATTGGCAGTAGAGCTGATGCATATATAGAGAGGAAAGCACACAGGCTTCATAACGATATTCAGTGTGTTATACTTACGTTAATCGAAACACCGACGCAGGAGTACATGTACAGGGCTTGTCAGTCACATCATGCAGTTATGTTACAGCGTGGTCAGAAATTGCCCTCATGTCACAGGACATCCCCACCATAAGGCCTGCCATATGTCTGGTGTTCTTGTGGGATTATTGTGTGGCACGTATAATCATCCTCATTTCTAGAGAAACACAGAAGTAGCCATCTTTTTTACAGTGTGTTTATGTGTTTAAGTTGTGAAACAAAACGAAACAAAAAAAAAAAAAAACTATGAACAAGCAATCCACAACAGCCTTTTCTAAATGATATTAAATGTCCAGATGTTATTGTGAGGGCTGTTTTGGCTCCAGTCGTGTAAATGATTTTCAGAGTTGGGGAGGACTATGAGCTGCAGCAAGGCCACTGTAACCCCGTGCAGGGGATGAGTGGATGAAGTGAGCACTCTCCTCGTTTCCTTTTCTGCAATTGTTATGGAAGTGGATTAAAAGGGAGATGTGCGCTGTATGGGCGGCAAGGGCTCGCAAATTCACCCTGCAATCATGTGGTTTCATAAAAGAGAATGAATGTTTTTGCAGTTGCCTGGGGGGCTATCTGTGCGGTTTTTTTGTGTCTATTCTTCCACATTCACCAGAACTTATGCATGAACTATTCATAAATACTTCCAGACTTGTTGAAAGCTGCCGACCCCAGTGGTCGCTTGAGTCAGTCACTGTGACTTGCTTGGCCAGTCCTTGTCATTAATTTCCCAACAGTTAAACCATTCAAACAAATATGAAGACTAGCAGTTTTAACCCTTAAAATGTAAATACCAGCATGACAGACATAAGCAATCGCCTAATATTCACCTGGTCTCTAAAGAGCGTTTTTTTTTTCTCTCAAAAAATGAATGGAGGAAAAGGCAGGTAGCAGTGACTGTGAAGGTGTGTCTTTAACCCCAACGGCATCAAAGTCTGACAGTGTTGTAACAAAGATGGGGAGGCAGGCCTTTCCAGTCTGGGAAAAAAAATCCACCTAATCAAGTGGCTCAAAGAGGCACCAAAATGATTGCTCAGAAACCCTAGGATACATAAATCTGGTCCTAATTGTAATTCTGAAAAGGTCTGAGATTTGTATGCAGGGACACAGATCTTACTTGAGCAAAAACAAAAATGGTAATTACACTGGATAAATCAGTCATTATATGGTGAAGGACAAGTCAACATGAGTGATTCCACACTCAGAACATTTGTTGAGACTAACTCCCCATGGGCCAATGTATTTCTTACAGCAAGGTGTGGAAAGCCTTAAAAATAATGGAAGAAATCAGAGAGAAGATGTCAAGAAGGTGAGAAATCTTATTTCTAGAAGTAACATTAAGATGAACAACAGAATTAATTTTGACTGTCTGGGGCTGATATTCATAACTTTTGTAACATCTGTTTCTGCATGATAGGTTTCACAGCTTTTAATTACGTAAGGCATGCCTTGCTCACATGGCATAGTGCCTTACAAGAAAACTCAAATAATCCATTTTTTAAATAACATTAGCAAGTAGCTGCATAAAATAATTATGCAGAAAACAATTCCCTTTAACTCAGGTTTCTATACAGTATACCATTTTATTGCACTCACAGTTACAATAAAAAAACAAAACAAGCAAACATTTGCATGCAGAAATCCCTTTCATACAAGAAAAAAATATACAAAAAAATATTTTCATCAACAACTCAAATAGCTGTTATCAACTGAACAATTAAATATAAGTAATGTGTTTGGCTGCCTTTGAATATTTATATTGATTGCACACCAAAGAAATTGTGATCTTTTTCACTGTGATTGTATCAACATGAATCGGAGATTAGGTTTGGTGTTCTGAAAAGGCCTTGATCTCCAGAGGTATGGTCCACAGCTACAGCTCAGGACGGGAACCAGAAGCGTAAAAACACACAGCTTGTTACCGCCAAAGTGACCGTGGTCACAGTTACAAAGGATAGCCGGCCATGAACTGCAGCTCACATCTTATGAATGACAACTGATTCATAATTACATGATGATCTTGTTTTTGACGAGGGATGTCACTTTTTGATCAAGGTCAGTGTGACACTTTTCTGAATGTCTCACCAGCACCTGATCTCTTTTTTTTCCAGGTTTACAGTCAGTCAGTCAGTCCTAAATCACAAAATATTGAGTTAAGCCATTCTAAGCTCAACACACAAAAAAAACAAAATGAAAAAGATTTAGAAACCATATCACGGTACAATGTCTATGGAGATAACATCTTTCTACTGGAAATGTCTGGCAGTTTTATAGTATCTGTTTTTTTTTTTTAAAAAAAAAGAAACACACCAAAAACTCTAAGATGTGAATGAGGCAGCTTCACTTCTCATCCTCCCCCTATGGGATAAGGCGGTCCACTCCTTGGTGGGGACTCTCGGCCTCGAAGCACCCCACCCCCAATAGCCAACCTAGGCTGTAGAAAGGCTGGGAGCACAGAGAGTCACTGAATTCCTGGGTGTCATCTTTTTTTTTTTATGTCCTCCTTTCTAACCCACATCGACGCGGAACCTCAGAAAGAAAAGTTTTGGCAGGGTTTGAAATGCACACAACTCTGCGGACCTCAGCCTGAGGCTCCGGGGTCATGATGGGTAATGTCTCGATCCAGTCAGGATCCAGAGCAGGACCAGCTGGAGTCCCATCACAAGCCAAAGTGACGGGGTTAGTCTGGAGCCGCTCCCACAGTCGGAGTCGTCCTCCTGTTACCAGCATGGAAAAAGCCATGGTCAGGAATCACGCTTTTGCTGTGTATTTAGTCTTCCTACCCTATGCTCTATTCGTCTCTACTCTGCAAACCAAACACTCCAGGTCTAGATTACAAGCTTCCCTGTTACCAGAGCCAGCCACGGAAGAAGTCAGATGGACGGTCCAGAGGTGACCTGCCAGAAAATTCGGACAGGGAGCCCCCAGTGTTTTGAGTGGTAAATAAAAAATGCAGTTAACGTTAGCTGCTGGAGCCAGAGGAAGGAGCCTAGCTAGCATGCTTCTCCGTGCCTTTCAGTTCACTGAATGCGAAGCTAGCATGTCAGCTACACTGGGAATTAAAATTCCATATATACATGCAATACACAGCCAGTCAACAGACAGAGACTATGAAAAGACACCAGGCAATAAGGCAAACAGGATTTAAAATACCATTCACAAACAAAATTCAAGAATGTAATAGAAATCGATGTTTAATATCATGATGATTCATTGCCTTAAATTTGCATATACAGTGGTATCTCGGTTCTCGAACTCACTAGAACTTGAATTTCTTGAAAGTTGAACAAACCAGTTTGACCTAGAACTCGATCTGAATATCAGAAGTTGAACCATGAACGCTGACCTAATATAAATTGCACGCGCCAGGAAATGAGTCATACTACAATGCAATTCTTATTTGAATGCCTTCTTCACAGACTGGACGATTAACCAAATAAAGCAGCGCAACATTACAGTAACTAACA